ATGCCCTGAAAGCTGTCCTTGCTGCAGCTCAGCTTGATTCAGTAACTCCTCTAAGGATATATTCTAATTAAAACTTAAAAAAAAAAAATCCTTTGTATAGAATAGTTTGTATAGAATTCTGATGAGTGAAGTGTAACATTATGGTAAATATACACTTATAAGGATAGGTAAAAGGACAAAGAAAGAGCACATCTTATCTCCACAATGAGCACACTTGTGTATCCTCCCAATTATCTAAAAATCACAAGCTATAAAAATATTAGGTAACTATTTACTGACTTGACATTCAGAACATGAAACAAAAAATTAGTCCAATAGAAAACAAAGAAATTGTGATGTACATTGTACACGAAATAGAAAAAGAAAAAAGATGTAAATATCAATGCGTATTTAACTATAAACAAATTTGTTTATTATTATTAAATTGGAGAGGCAATATAGTGAGGAGGGTAAGAGAGAGACTGCCTGGATTCAAAGCAGACATGTACCACTAACTAGCTGGTGTGATTTAAGGCAAACTATTTAAACCCTTTGTGCTAAAGTTTCTAAGCCTGTAAAATGAGGATAATAATAGTTCACAACTCAAATCATTACAAACGTTAATATGTGTTAAGTTCGTAGAAAAGTGCCCAGGACACATTAAACATCATGTTAGCTATTAATATTATTTAAAATGATTTTTTTATGCTACAGAGAAGAATCAAGTATGATCAAGCATAAGAATATGTCTACATTCTATTTTAAGTGATTCTTGCTGCTTTGTATACAGTTTCATAAGTAATGAAATATACAAATGCCAAAAATTTATCACCAACTAATCTCAAATACCTACTAAGTCAATAATTGTTTAAAATTACCCACCTGCCAAGTATAATCCTTTATAACTTCCGTAGGCATTGGAATTACAAGGAGATTCTGAAGAATAAATGCAGCCTGAAAATGTTTTAAAAAAAAAGTCAATACTGCCATCTTGTTGTCATCTCTGAAATAACCAATATATTATAATCTCATAGCAAAAGACATATCTCTGGTCAACTGCACATGCTGAGAGGTCATTATGAGAAATACCAAACCATAATTCTTGTTAGGTGATGACCTTGTTAGGTAATGACCTAACAGTATATGAAAGTATTTCATTAGCAAATATATTTTTTCCTATTTAAGAATTTAGTTTTATTCAAAAAATGATTTGTATAATATAAACTGTTCTGACAGCATTTAAGAAATGCTCTTTCAGGTTTCTACTATCCCCTTACAGATTATACACACACACACACACACACACACACACACACACACACACACACACCCCTTTCTCCCTCTCTCATACAGATTTTTCTCAATAAAAACTTGCTAACTAGAAATACAAACCACAAATAGAAATCCAGCTTAACCTA